GTGCCCCTTCCATTTTCTCATTTCTTCCTCTCCATCCCATCCACTGCCTCCTTCCCTTACACCTGCATATCTGGATCCTCTCACCCTTTGGGTTGTCCCGGGTGTCGAACTCAAACAGCTTTCGGGGATTGTCGGGGAAGGAGTACACGTAGATGCGGTTCCTCAGCACAATTATGATTCTGTGGGCATTACACAACATGGGACGGCCATGAGGGGAGGGCAGGATGCTTAGGTGGGACTAACCCTCTCGCTTGCTTTTGGAACCTCTTACCTTCCCCATCCCCAGTCCTCCTCAGGCTTACTTGTCATGGCGCATGCGCACAGCCAGCACTGGTTTGGTGAAGGTGAACTCCAGCACCAGCTTGTCCTTGGAGTCCTTGCCCTCCCGGGCATCGTCCCAGATCAGCACTGCTGGGCAGGTGGGTGCATTGTCCGGGCCAAGGTTTAGGGTGAGGGGCAGCCCTGGTGACACAAGACCCACCCCTACTCCCCATGGGACCTCAATTCAATTGTTTAACCATTCGCTAATACCCAATGTGAGCCTCACACAGCACGAGCACTTGTGGATGTGATTCCTGAGAGAACAGGTTCTAGAACTGTTATACCCATTTACAGGTGAGAAAACTGAGGCTTGAAGGGATTGAGTATCTGGCCAAGGACCTCACAGCCCATTAGCAAGCAAGCAGGGACTTGCAGCCAAGCCTATAAATTCTCATCGGCAACTATTTCTGCCTCTGGGGTCCCAGTCCCTACTCCCAGGAGATTTCTGTGAGAAATCCTAGGCTCTGTGACTTGCCTAGGATGAGTCTCTTGCTATGTCCTGATGGGATCAACAAAAACCCTCAAAACAAGATGGCACTTGAGGCTCAAGGCAAGTGAGCACTGGGGAGATAGCTCTAAGATGTTAAAACCTATTGGATGTGTGACCTTAGATATTTAAAGTTATTTAACGTCCCTGGGCCTCAGTTTCTTCATCTGTAAAAATGGGGATAATGATACTTCCCACCACACAGTTACTGTGAGAATTAAATAAGTTACTACATATAAAGTGCTTAGAACAGTACCAGGCTCACAGCATGTGCTCTATAGGTTAAGACATGACATACAGGAGACATTCAATTAATGTTTGTTAAATGAAGACAAAACATTAAGCTTCTCAATCCATAAGAACCATGATTTCCAAGCCGTAGGCCTCACTATATGACTCTAAAGTGCTCTGACATCTTCATCTGTCAGTGCCTTCAGGTGCCTGGGGGAGGCCAGGATTCCAGGGAATCTGGGCCAAGGGCAGGATGGGATGAGGGCACTTACCTGAAATCTCTGAGAACTTGGGGCTGCTACCACCACCCACCAGGGCCAGGAGGTTGGAGCGGTGCAGCATTTCCACCAGGCCCATGCTGCCTACCTGCTCATGGTCTGGACAAGGACAGGGTGTTAGTAAGGGGTGGGAGCCAATGTCCAGCCCATCCCTTTGCCCCTCCCCCACTGACAGCTCACCCAGATGCCCTTTCTCCATCAATGGCTCCACATTGTAGATGCGCACACCTGTTTCCATGGCACAGCAAAAGCAGCCTGAGGGATGAGAGGAATCCAGAATGCCTCAAAGGATGCCCAGGTGGGAAGCAAGGGATGCTTAACACCCACTTCTGGCCATTCTCTCTCCTTCCCTCCCTCCCTCTCACAAAGGACCAGGCACAAGTCTTTCTCACTTTGGTCTTGGTTGAAACACAGGCTGGTCACTCCTCGAAGTGGCTGCTGAGTCATGATCCAGGATTGCTTCCCTAGACACAAATGGGTATTGGGTTGGACAGAGTCCTGGGGTCTGCCCTCTGAGTCCTAGAACTCCTGTCCCTAAC